TTTTTTTTTTTTTTTTTTTTTTTTTTTTTTGAGTACTGGGGATTGAACTGAGGACCTTGTGCTTGCCAGGCAGAGGCACCAGCACCACTGAACTACATCCCCAGTCCTTAGTGGTTTCATTCTTTAATAAAGGTAGAGATGACCTTCCTTATTCCATTATGAGTACACTGGGGGATCCAGAGTTAACACTGCATCACACACTTGAGATTCGCTGAGTAGATTATTTATTTTGTGTTGTGAAAAATTGAACCAAGGGCCTCATGCATGCTAGGCAAGTACTCTACCACTAACCTACACCCTCAGCCCAGGAGACCTTAAATGTTCTCACAACACACACAAAGAGGTAACTAGCTGTGCTATCTAACTAACTTGATTGCAGCAGTCCTTTCATAATATAGGTGGATAACAAATTAGCACATGAATAACGTTTTCTCAGTTATACCTCCTACACAGTGCAGCTCACCTGGGTGGCTAGGCAGACTGGTCTACTTTGTTTCTATCTCTTCTTGACTACTTCCCTTATCTGTGTCCTGGACAGGACGCCTTTTATCTATTAGGCTGTCACCTCCACCTGATAATGACCAGTCACAGAAGATTCAGTATATAATAGTTTAGAATACTACAGAATATCCCTTATCTGAAATGCTCAGATCCAGAAAGAAATGTTACAGATTTGACATTTCCATATTTTAGATTTTTTTGTACCGGGGATCAAACTTGGGTCCTTGTGCTTGCAAGGCAGGCAGCAGAACCACTAAGCTAAACTCCCACAGATAATGTTACATTCTGGGGATGTGAACCAACCCCAAACATAAAATGAACCTATGTTTCACATGTACCTGCCTTATATACATAGCCTGAGGTATTTATACATATTTTTAGTATACCTGTATTTTGACCATAACCTATTTTGACTGATACATGAGGTTAGTTGTGAAATTTTCCATTTGTGGTATCCTGTTGACGATCAAAGTTTCAGAATAGAGAGACACTTAAGAGGTGCACCTGGGAGTTGGCTTTTTTTTTTTGGTACCAGGGACCAAACCCAGGACCTTGCACTTGCAAGGCAGGCAGTGGCACCAATGAGCTAAATTCCTGGCCCAGTTGGTCCCATTTTTGAAAAATCTTTTCTAAGGCAGAGAAGTCAAACAGACAGGAAGAGTCACAGGAGGCAAGGAAGTGCCCTACCTCATAACTCTGCCACCAGTTGGGGATGTTGGGACGTAGCTTCTGGTCACAGACAACCTTTCGCATTTCCTCAATGGAAGGGTCAGAGGGCACTAAGTCATAATATGGCAGCTGATATTCTTCATGGACTCCTGGGAGAAAAGAAAATACATATATCTGAGTTACTGACTGAAGGAAGGAGAGACTAATCCAAAACCAATACAACATCACATTGTGATCTGTAAATTCCAATTCCCACTAGGGCTCCTTGAAGTAGGTCACTGATACTCATGGGATCATGCAATCAGAAGCAATAAACAAGAGTAGGGCCGAGGAATTAGCTCAGCAGTTCCACTATCTGCCTTGTAAGCACAAGATCCTGAATTCAATCCCTGGTACCAAAAAATAAAACAAAACAAACAAAAACCACTAATAAATTTGAATTTGGACAATGATTACCCTGGCTGTCAACATCACAAAAGGAGAGATGACTGACAATAAGTATCTTATGATGGACGAGTAGTATCTATGAAAGATTTTTGGAAAAAAAGAGAAAATACCTAGATATGATTTTTTTTGGGGGGGGTTTTGAGACGGGGTCTCACTATGTAGTTGAGACTGACCTGGAACTCACTATGTAGCCTAGGCTGGTCTCGAACTTACAGCGATCCTCCTGCCTTAGCCTCCTGAGTGCTGGGATTACAGGCACTGCTACCACACCCAGCCCTAGATATGATCTTAACTGCTAGATCTAACTACCAGTTCACAGGAAATGCTAGGAATAACATTTGTGAACTCAATGTGATCCAGTGAAATTTAGCCTTGGAAATTTTAGTCAATTAACTTGGATTCTTCTATAAAATTAGAAAAGGGCTGGAGATTTAGCTCAGTGGAGCCAGTGCTTGCCTTTCAAGCACAGGGTCCTGAGTTCAATCCTTGGTACAAAAAAAAAAAAGGAAAAGGAAAAAGAAAGAAAGAAAGAAAGAAAAAAAAAAGGAAAAAATACAGGAGGAACTTGCACACTAGAAGAAATGTAAGAGTTGTATCAATCAAGTGCAAAACTGGGTATTTGAGCCATGACTTAGCAAACAGTTGAGAAAAATTAGGAGATAACTGGGGAAATCTCAACATTGATTAGATGTCAATGTCAATGTTTCTCTCTCTCTTTTTTTTGCAGCTCTTGGGACCCTGAGCTACATCCTCAGACTAATGTTCCCTTTTAGTGGGGCAATACATTTAAGTCCTGTTAGAGCTACAAAGGGAAAGAATTCCAAAATAAAAAGTTAACTTTAAAGATCCAATGTACTTTTTGTGTCTTTTTCCAGGAAGCACTCTGTTGTCTTGAACTAATGGGAAAGATTACCAAACATAGAATATGATTTGGTAATTATCTAAGGGGTGATTAAGAGCTTAAACCCTAGGCCTCAGGCTGCTGCAGTTTGAATTCTAGATATATGTCTTTGGACAAATTACCTAATGTCTCTCTGAACTTTTATTCTTCATCTATAAAATGAAGCCAATTATAGTACCTACCTTTGTAAGTTTGTAGTGAAGATTAAATGTATTTATATATAGCAAGTGGTGGACACTTGTAAATATAGGTACAGTGGTACCTTGGTTCACGAACATGACCATGGCCATCTTCCCCACAATTGTGGAACAAATTAAGTTTGTGAACCAAGGTACCACTGTATTTTTACATACTTAGTTCTCATTTCTGAGAAAGAAATGAACTTGATAGTTTAAGACTTACATAACCAGTTTTCTCTGTATACTGTATACTCTGGTCAAAAATATAAGATGTACCACTCCAGGAATACTTGGGCACTTCCTCTATTATTTGGATCTCACCAAACATATCACAAATGGAAATAGGTGGCAAATGACAAAAGGGTTCTGCTAGAAGACTTACCTGTTTTGCTCTCTGCAGGGCACAGACCCCAGCTCCTTGCACATTTAAGGCAAATGTCATACTACTGAGCTATCCCCACTTAGTCCTACCAGTTTTTTTGTTTTGTTTTGTTTTTGGAGACAGGGTCTTACTATGTAGTTGTGACTGACCTGGAACTCACTGTGTAGCTCAGCCTGGTCTCAAACTCACAACAATCCTCCTGCCTCAGCCTCCCAAGTGCTGGGATTACAGGCATGCGCCACCACGCCTGGCTTTTACCAGTTATTTTTAATTCAACCACTTTCATTGCCCTGGGATCTCTTTCATTAGAGAGAAATGGCTCTAGAGGTTATTAAATTTGATCATTTGGCAGAGTACCTGGATATCATCAAATACTGATATCAGCTGATGATAAAAAGTGTCTTCTACTAAATCTGATACTGTATTTTACTGGATTCTGACATGAATATGCAAATGTGAAAGATAAAGTTTGTTTCTTTCCTTCTGAGACAGGGTCTTGTTATGTAGCCTAGGCTGGCCTTAAATTTATGGTGCTCCTCCCATCTCAGCCTCCTGAGTGCTGGGTTTAAAGATATATATCACCATGCCTGGCCAACCCAAAGATCTTTAAAAAAAATTATGGAAGAAAAAAGTCATTTTGAAAGAATTCTAAGTATTTCTGTAAATTTAGAAATTACAACTATTATTGCCAGGATCAAACACCAGGGTTCTCTAGGAACATGGCTTCAGGGCCAGTGTGTCAGGACATAATACCTCTAATTTAAAGAGATACTGAAAACTATTCAAACCCAGGGTGTTGCCAACCTTTACAGGCTAAGAATAAAGTCAATGTGTCAGCCAAATGAGCCTCCAGAATGATTATCGAAAAGCAAAACATACTCAACCAGCTGGCTCAAGTCAACATACCCCTAGCATAGCTACCTCCAGGATTCTACATTCTTGATGAAAATCTTAAGGGTGACTGATTCTTGCACCAGGCACTTGACAAGTTGTAGCAAGAACAGGGACCTGTAAAATACCAGCACCCTCAGGTGAACCATCAAGCTGCAACTGGACACAAGTGAAGATAAAAAAAACAAAAACAAAGATAAGGTACCTCCTGAATTGCACCTTCGAGCAATCTCCCAATATACCAGCCCAAGGGCATAAATATCAGCACATTTAAAGGAGTCAAAGTGTTTCATGTTAATGGTTTCATCAAGTACTTCAGGAGCCATGTATCTGCAGCAACAAAGAAAAAATAGTTACAGATAAGCCATCATGACTGCCCTCTTTCAATCAAAGCACTGATTCCAGGGCCCTCTGAATGTGGGAGCATTATCCCAATAGGTCCCCTGGGGAGAAGTGAGAACTTCTCTTCACATTTTGGATTTGAATCTAAATAATTCAGTATAGATCTGGAAATATTAGGCTACTCTTAAATGTTTTTTATTTATTTATTTATTTATTTGTTTGTTTGTTTATTTATTTATTTTTGGTATCAGGGATTTGGGTCCTTGTGCTTGCGTGGCAGGCAACAGAACCACTGAGCTAAATCCCCAGCCCAAGTGTATATTTATTTTTTTTAACCATCAAGAGTCTGTCTTGACCTCTAGGCAGAGGTATCTGCACTGTGGGCCACATAGTACACAGTATCTGGTTACTACTGAAGTCCTCACTTTATTCAATGTAGCCAAAGTGAACTGAGCTTAAATTCCCTTCTAAACTTCTGTTATTTTATCTGATTGCAGAAAGGTGAGACTCTTATAGGTGACCAAAGTCACCCTTAGTAACTGAGTAGTAATTATGAATTATTATTATTCAAGCTACACCCACCCCTAATGAATGAGGATCACCTCGGCCCTAGACCTCAGGTCCTGGGTAGCTACAATCACTCAGGTTTAGGACAAACACAGCAGCATAATTCAATGAAATTTACTTATATTCAGCACACAGAACCCCTCTTCTGTCCTACTGAAAGACAGTCCTTTTATTTTGGTACCAGGGATCGAACTTGGGTCCTTGTGCCTTACAAGGCAGGTGGTGGAACTGCTGAGCTAAATCCCTGGCCCCAGACAGTCCTACTTTTAACTCATCAAGTTAACCACAATTCCTTTTTTTGGGGGGTGGTACTATGGATGGTACCCAGAGCTATCTCCAGTTCCCCATTTTTAATTGACTGATTGGTACCAGGGATTGAACTCAGGTCCTTGTGCTTACTAGGCTAGGCAGTAGAACCATGAGCTAAATCCCTGGCTCTAGCCCTTTTTATTTTTTGGAGAGGATCTTACAAAATTGCCCAGACTAGGCTTGAACCTGATATCTCCTTCCTTCCTTAGTCTCCTAAGTAGCTAGGATTACATTATACGTATGTGCCACCAAACCTGGAAAGTTTTTTTTTTTTTGGTACCAGGGATCCAACTCAGGACCTTGCACTTGCGAGGCAGGTGCAGTACCACTGAGCTAAATCCCAGGCCCTGGAAACTCCTTACTTCACTACTCAATGAAGTAGGAAGCAAGCCCATAATCCTTGAGGACACTCCAATCCACACCGAAGATTAGCTCTGTTCAGGTTTGGGAAACTTGCTCCCTACACCCAAAACAGAACACATTCCCTGCCTCCTCCCATCTCTGCACAAGCCACCCCTTTGGACTGCAGTATTTTCTCTCTTCTCTTAGCCAAGCCTCATGCCTACCTCTCTCCAAATCCTGCTCCAGATTCTCTCCAATTCCCACTAATCCACCAAAATCTGTGTACATACAGTGAAGCCGTGTTTTTTGGCATTTACATTTGTTAGATGTAACCTATAGCTTCCAATGTGGGAAGCAGGGCACAAGGGAGCAAGAACCACACTTTGTCCTGTACATATTCAAAGAGCACCTGCTGTTGAGTAAGAGCAAAAGCCCAGGGCATTCCTACCGTTTGGTTCCCACCCTCTGATTTGGGGCAATGTCAATGGTGTCAGTGACTGCATCATGGCGAACTGCCAGGCCCAGGTCTGCAATGGCACACATGCCATTTTTCTTCACCAGGATATTCTTTGATTTTAAATCTCGATGAGCAATTCCAGGCTTCCCTGGCAGAGGAAAAATCAGAGATCTTTAAAGAAAGATGTTATAAATTTTAAAAGCAGAGGCTGAAGCCAGACTGAATCTGAGTCCTAGCTTTGTATCCTGCTAACCTAGTGATTCCCTGTGTATCTGTCTTTTTATACACAAAATCAGAAGGGAAATGTGCAGAGTAAATGTTTCACATAGGTAAATACTTTAAAAGAATATGAGTACTAGCTAACATTACTAATATTACTATTACCACTTACCCACCCAGAACAGCTCTGATATAAGCTGCTAAGGAATTCAAAGGAAGATCTTGCTCTTGCAGTGGCTGGACCTGAAGATGTGCATTACTAGTATCAGAACATAGGCTAAAACAGAATCCGACTGTCTTCGGTAGTTTTCCATTGTGCCCAACAAGAGCTGTTGTCCTGGTCAAACAGGCATCAGGGATCACACTTGCCACTGTGGCAAGATCCAGGAACTCCCTAAATGCTGACATTGTAATTGACAAGCAAGGCTCCAGGTCTTCTTCCTCTAGGAAAACCTCCTGAGACTAGCACACCCAGTATCTCACCATCATGTAGTCATGAAGTCTGCTCCCTCAACAACAAATGTGTGAAATGACTAAACTGATGCTCTTGTTGCAGTGGTTTATCTTTTTGGTTCCATTTTTTTACATGCCTGCTGTGGGCATCGGAGATTACTTAACAAATAGTGATGTCACACCAATGACAAATAACTACACACTGACCTTACAGACTTCTCCTAAAGACAGGGATGGGGAGAGTGCCCTGTACATCTTTGGCTCTCAAACAGCTCAACCTCCTTCCCTTGGGTTAAATTGCAGTTCCTGAGGTCCAGCCCTGAATTTCTCAGTAACAAGGAGGTCTAGGAACAAAATTAGGATGCACAGCCATTTAGTCTACCCAACTTCTCTGCTCCTTGGCAAGTCTACTCACCTTGAGTGCCCACAATCTCCATATGCAGGTGTGCTAACCCGCTGGCAGCAGACAGAGCCAGCTTAATCATTCCCTCGATGGTTACTGTGTAGCGGTTAAGATAATCAAACAGGGAACCATGTTCATGATAGTCAGAGACAAGCCACAGCTGTGTCCAGGTGCCATTATCTGCAGAGAACACAGATGAGTCCCACAAAAGGCATTAACTATCAGCAACGCGGAAGAATGCCTACAACATGAGACTCAGTCACTCGCCTGAGTTTACATTTCTCACCTCCTCAATTCCTGAGGCCCTTCCCCCACTCATCTACAGTGGTCTGCAGCTGTAGGCTCCAGTGAGGACACAGCACTTTTTTCCTAGGCCTGCTCACTTGTTTCTTTTAGGTGGGCTGTAGAACTCTGAACAGCATTTCATTCTTCTGCCATATTTGAAATGTGAGGTGTTCAGGAATGAGAAAGTATATGCTTAGGGCAAGTTAAGAGTTATCAGTTTTGTTGCACTGCTGCTTCTGACCCTAACGAGATTTGTTCACCATGTTAAACCAATAGCAGGCTATACCCACAGCCGAGGAAAGCCTTCTAGGTCTTCCTAAGCTCCACTGACCCTTTGAACATAGCCCAATCACAGCACCTGTCTGATTTGTAATGTTTCTTTTCAGTCTGTTCTCATCAGGCTAGGAGCTCTATCTATGTATTACTGCATTCCAGGACAAAAAAAAAAAAATGCTTTTTGGTGCATGAAAAATCTATTTCCAAGTATTACCAGAGAGGCCATCTTACCCAGAGAAATGTAAGGTGGGTAGCATACACTTTTCCCCTTTTATACATGAGGCAGTGGGAAGGAATAGGGAAGAGGGAAGCAGGGAAGAAGAAACAAAAAACATTAAAGCCAGTAATCTAATTAAGCTATGCTGCTGCCATTAGGAAGACTGGAAAATGGATTGAGAGTTACTAAATTCCACGCTGGTGGCTGGTTCCAGGGCAACATACTAAATATATCATGGTAAAAAGGCAACTAATGAAGAAGCCCAATTTTCCTCCTTCCCTGACCCTAATGTGGGTTTCCATAGCCAGATCCCTACTCACATAAGCTGCTAGAATCATTTAAAGGAACTGCTGCAAGAAGTCCATAAGCCTTGGCTTCTTTCATCAAAAACAAGGGGCTAGGGCTGGGGATTTAGCTCAGTGATTCCGCCGCCTGCCTCAAAAGTGCAAGGAACTGAGTTCAATCCCTGGTACCAAAAAACAAAACTACAACAAAAAAAACAAGGGGCCCACCCAACCTGCCACTTTCCATACTCGAAGCAGCTGCCAAATCCTGAGGACCTTGTTAATAAGTTAAAAGGGACCATCTGTTTGTTTTGATGCTTTCAAATGCTTTTTTGGGGGGGTACTGGAGATCAAACTTGGGACCTTGCGCTTGCGAAGCAGGCAGCAGAATCACTGAACTAAATCCCCATCCCTGTATGATTTAAATTTTATCAAAAAGTGATGCTGCTTTGAAGAGGTGCAGCTTGCCAAGTTGGTGGCACACACCTGTAACCCCAGCACTCAGGAGACTGAGGCAGGAGGATTGCCTACTGCTGTGAGTTCGAGGCCAGCCTGAATCACAGGCCGAGACCTCAAAAATAAATAAATAAACAAACAAACAAGTAAATAAGTAAGTAAATAAAATAAAGGAGAAAAGAAAGAGAGAGGAGCAGCTTACTCGCAGTAAAACACTCTTCTCCCCCCTTCCTCCTTGCACAAAAGTCCAAGACTCTTCAGTTGAGGGAGCTGAGGCCATCACCAACCCTCACAGCAATGTGAGGAATGAGCAGTCGCTGTTGTTTTAGGAACAGAAAACAAATACTTAGCATCTTCTGCAGATACCAACATCTGAGTCATTGAGCCATGGAGCAAATTATGTCACAACCGCCAGAGACTCTTATAAAATGTGAATCCAGGAGTCAGGGATTTAGCTCAGTGGCACCGTGCCTGCCTCACAAACACAAGGTCCTGAGTTCAAGCCCTGGTATGGCAGAAAAAAAAAAAAAAAAAAAAAAAAAAAGCGAATCCAATTCCATCAGTCCTCTCTGTACTCCAGGTGGACTACCTGTTACCTGTCTGTCCCGTTTCTCCTGGGGGCTCTGTGAAGGCAGGAATTATGTCTTGTCTTTACATGTGAGGATCCTAGCAGCCACAAAGGTTCTGGCTCACAGCAATCAACATATGCTGAGTTAATGAATGAAATTCCAATCACTGGGCCAGAGATGTAGCTCAGTGGCATCATGCCTGCCTGGCAAGCACAAGGTCCTGAGTTCAATCCCCGGTAACACACACACACACACACACACACACACAAAAAAAAATTCAATCACTACTGCAGGTTATATACCTCACTTTTGCACATGCCTACAAGGCCTTTCCCACTGGTTTTTCTTCCAGATCAATTGTACTGCCTTGGTCTCAATGAAGCCTTTGTGTAACCCTACTTCTAACTACAAGAGCCTGTGCTTGCCTCCTATCATCAGTTTACTAGTCAGTGAGGTCCTCAAAACAGGCATATGCCTACAAACATAGTTTAGAGAGACTCAAAAGTATAGCAAGAAAAGAGCCAAGAGGAAAAAACTGAAACTTTAGGTACAGATATTTTAGCCCTAAAACTGAGTCTAATGGCTAGTGACACTCTTGGTGATAGGCAAATCCTCATTCTCCCATGCCTGCTCCACTTACAAGTGTATATAATGCCGGTCATGTCACAGAAAGTGGACTGCATGCTTTTCCATGGTTGTCCTTTTTTGGCAGATGAGGCCACAGTTTCTCATCTAGCTATTTTCAAAGTAGCCCAGGCATGGTGGCCTGAAATCTCAGCACTCAGGAAGCTGAGGAAGGAGGATCACTGTGAATTTGAGGCCAGACTGGGCTACATAGTGATGCCTTGTCTCAAAAACCAAAACCAAAATCAAAACCAAACCAAATCCAACAAAAAACCCCAAATGAACAAAAACCCAAACTTTATTGGAAACCCTACACGGACAATACTGGTGGTAGACTTGGGGAAGTGTCAGATAAGAGCACTAACTGAGCAGGTAGGGTGAGGACGTGTTTCTCGATTACCTGCATAATAAGCTGGTATTCCATGTAAGTTTTTCATGGAATAAAGGCCCCCACATCTTGAGGAATATGATAACTATGACTTTACAGAGACTATGGGTAAAATCATGAAGGCAAACAGAGCTGTGTATGACACAACAGTTCAGTTTCTCCAACCATCCCTCCACTTGAAGGTGCTGTTGGCTTTGTATCCCGACCCAGCCTTTACCTTTATTGTCAGCAGCAATAAACCCAAGGATGTTTTCATGGCGTAGCATAACTGTCTGGTATATCTCTGCCTCCCGGAACCAAGATCGTTCTTCACGAGAAGAGAAAATTTTCACAGCTACATCACCACCCCTCCAGCGGCCGCGCCACACTTCCCCAAACCGGCCCTTGCCAATAATTTCCTGTAATACGATAGTTCGGGCCACCGTGCGCTGGACAAAAAGAGGTAATCCTAAGGACCAAAGAACAGAAAGAAAACTGACAATGCAAATTTGCTAAACTTTGGAACTCCTACACTCACTGCTACACTGGAAAGGCTCCCAACAAAGTTCTCCATTGCACACTAGTTCATTAACCATGGAGAGCTGCAGCTGCCCCTGCACTCATCTAGGTAATCTACTAACCAGCAGGCTGAGCCAGACAGCAATTGGGAGTGAGTGGACACAGAAAGGAAAATGCATACAATTCTTTAGCAAGCAATTTCTCCACCAGTAGTGTGAGTTACAGAGCTGAATGCAAATGTCTGACCAGATTTACCAGATCTGCAGCGGGCCACTTGTGAGCCAACCCACCCTCAACTGCTTTGACAGAAATGAAAGAGGGCAGAAAAGATGAAATTTGAGGCTTCTGTGCTGGGAACTGCCTGCTGGCTGCTCTGCTTAATAGCCACTAGAGGGCAGTGCTGTGTGGCCCACAAACACAGGTGGTGGTCAGGGCTACAGGCTCTCTCCCAAGAGATCCAAGCTCTCTCTGCTCACAGATGGAACTCCAGATGTACAGTGGGGACTACTCATACTAATTCTAACATGTTTTACCGTCTTTATGTGACTCATGATTATTTCATTTGACTCATTCAATGTGTCCCTATCTAGTCAATCACCCTCACCATTGTGTCTGACTCTTAAAACTCTTAATCCCTCCTCTGATCAAGTAACTTGTTATTCCCTAGGTTTGGTGGATATGAGCTATTTACTATGTGCTTACTGTGGATAAGGCTCTACACTAAAGGCTTTACATAAATTATTTCTTTTTCTCACAACCACCAGTAAGGTAGGTATTGCTAATATCCCCATTTTGCAGATGAGAAAACTAGAAAGCCTAAAAAAGGAACATTATGTAACACACAAATGCTAAGTACCAAAGCAGGGATTAAAATCTACAACTAAGGGACTCTACAGTCCATGACTTTAACTACAGCAGTACAGAACCACCGATATGGTTCTCAATTTAGGCCTCTCCTTCTTATTCATCCCTGTGCCCCTTCTACTCTGGCTTATCTTTTAAAAAGACTCCCAACTGGTCTGGTCCTTCTGTCTCCATTTCACCATGCTCTTGCCCTACACACCCACATACAGTCCTGGCTCACCCCACCCTTCCTAACAGGAGGCTGGTAAATGAATGAATTCATTTACCACACCACTGCCAGAATTCCTTCCAAAGGAAAAAAATGAATATTCATTTCCCCCTGTGACAATTATCAGTAGATGCCTCTTAACCTATAAAATATGGTCCCCAAGGCTCTTTACACAGAGGTCAGTCTATGTGTTCCCAACTCCTAGCATGGGCAAACAACACTGGTCTCCTTAGCTTAAGTCCTTAGGCACACTAAACTTTCATGCCTTTTTGTCTTTTCATTCAAGATGTTTTCCTTTGCCTAACGATCCCTGCTCTCACTGCTCCTAGAAATTTCAACTCACTCTTTTCTCCTCTGTAAGGCTTCCCAACAATCTGTCTCTTCTATCCAATCTTGGGTCAGTCTCTTTAATCTTTGTCTCCAGAGGGTACTCAGCATATATTCATTAAAATGAACTGGAAGTCACCATAAGAATCAGACTTACTACTTTAAAAACCACACTATTGAGCAGGAAGTGGAGGTGCACTCCTGTAATCCCCTCACTCAAGAGGCCAAGGCAGGAAGATCACCAAGAGTTTGAGGCCAGCCTGGGCTACACAGTGAGTTCAGGGCCAGCTTGAAATACAAAGGGAGAACCCACCTCAAAAAACCAAAACAAACCAAACCAAAACACACACACAACATACACACACACACACACACATACACACACACAAACCAAAACCAAAAAACCCCACACTATTAAAAATCCAACACCTTGGAAACACTACACACTCTGAACTAAGAATGGATTAAACCACCCAGAGAGAAATAGTCATTGACCATTTTATTCCAGACAACTAATAACCATCATGCCTCCCTGACCTAGTCAGCTAGTCCTACACCTAAAAAGACCCTGAAACACTTCAGCTACCCTCCTCTAGGAGCAAATCAAACCATAGAGCCAGCCAGGTTGTTCTAACCACTGTCTCACCTCTTTTAGCAAAGAACAAGTCACATATTTTGTTTCTAAAAATATGCAGCTTTAAAATATATCCATCATTTTGGTGCTCTCTACTGCTGAGGCTTAATAAAGGCAAAACTACTAAAATTTAGGAGATGTCACAGCTTGAAGCATTCTTTGTGTTTAAGGAGGAATGTCTGGCCATAACTGATGGCATAATTCCCCTACATAACAACAGTCTGTTCCACAGCAAGGAAACATACATAAAAACACATGAGATTCTCACAAAAAAGAGTCTATGTGTTCTAGCTAGAATGCAACACTGATCTTTGTGGGTGAATTTTTCTTTTGTAAGAACTGGAATACCACAAGACTAAAATAATTGTTTCTGTTCATTAAAAAGCTCTATTGTAGTTATGTTCACATCTAATAGCTAGCTGAGACTTGAACAACCTTAACTTTGTCCTAAATTCTGGTTTCATTGCAGGGTCCAGTATAGGGTTCAGTGCCCTCATCTAAGAAAGACTCAGTCAAACAGGCACCACAGGAAATGCAGCCTATCCTATGCTGGAAGCCCAGACTACCTTTATGGTAATCCCCACCAAAAAAAACCCTGGGCAATGGTACAAGTCAATGATTCACCAAATCCCAACTCTAAGCTTTACTCAACATCCTTAAAACTCTCTGTGGTTGCTCAAAGATCAATGATTAGCTGTCACCACCTTAGAGGAATCCGGCACACTCCTGTTTCTCAAAAAGGGGCCCTTAAATTGAGCACTCCACTGGTCAGGTGGAACCAGCTGAATTTTAATAGATGTAGGGTGACAAGACTTGAAGATAAGTAGAGTCTCTGCACTGGAGAGTTTTGTACTTGATGTTTGGAATTCCTGGGCATCAAAAGACTGTCTGTGAACTCATTATCATATCTTATTATATGTCAGACTCCAAAAGGAGGGAAATTATGAAATCCAATGACTCAAAGCTAGCTGAAACAAATGCAGGGCCCCCCCACAACCCCACCCCAATAAGCACTCTCTCTTGCTGGGAAACAGTCATGAGTGCCAACAGATACAAGACCTGGAGGACTCAGTACCTGAGCCAGACCCTGATGTGGACAGATCGTAGACAAGATCCTGGAGTGTCTTGTCTTTGGAGAGACACATCTCACATGAGGGATCTTCCATGTCCAGTCTCTGGCGGTTGTGGTAGACACGCTGATGATAGTTAATGACAAGGAAAACAATGATGATGATGAGAAACAGGAGGAAAACTGGGCCGGCAATAATGCCGACCAGCTCCACAGGGCCCCACATGGAAGGGTGCTCAGGCTCCTTGGGGTGACCTGGGTCAAATGAGAGAGAACAGGGAAGGAAAACAAAGTAAAAACAAGGGAATGCCGTGACCATATTTATCCCCAACACTGCCCCCAAGTGAAAAAGACCCCTTCCTCCTCAATGTTTCAGGTTCCTTTGATATCTCTGATCTCACTAGGCTAGCCTATTTGCCTAGATACTATCAAATACCAGCTTCTTTGGTTGACGTGTCCCTCCAAGAGCTGAGCCAAGCCCACTCTGGAACTTAATGGCATGTTAGGATCCTATCTCCCCTTCAGACAGATGCCAGTTTCTAGTAGGGTCTGCTCTAGGTGCCTCCTCCTTGGCAATTCCCAGTAAGACTTTCTAAATAATGGACCTGCAAAAGGGTGGGGTCTAGCACTTTTCAGTAATCCTCTTCTTCTTTTCTATGTACTACTAGAGATGGAACCTAGGGCCACACACACATGTATTAGACAAATGTTCTACCACTGAGGCAAAACCCAGCCAAGCCACCCTTTTCTAATTCTAGTCCTTCTTCACATCTGAGTCCCTTTACCCACAAGGCAGTCTCCTTCAAGTGGCTCTCCCACCATGGACTTTGAAATCAGTCCCATATCCCCCCTGGGGATCTGTGGCTGGCTCTGCCGCTGATGGCCACTCAAGCCACTACCCAAACCACAGCTAGTACTTCTGGGACCAACCTGAAAATCTTATCTTCTAACCCTAAAACCTGACTTGGGAGGAATTTCTCCCTTGGTTCCTCCAGGAGCACCCAAAAGGCACCTTTACCTGTCATTCAGTCAAAGGACTGAGGAAGAGTAGAGAAGGATGAAAGGATGGGGAGCCCTACCTCCTGGATGAGCCAATAGTCCAACAAGGGTGTCCACTCACCACTGGGTACCCTTAAGTCGATCTTGTTGCAGAAGTCAGTATAGCAGCAGTGGGTATTGCGCAGATCCTCTGAGCTCAGGCAGTAGAAGGGCTTCCCGGCAGGGACCAGCTCCACTTTGGGGATGCAAGTGCGCACATGGTGCTCCTTCCCGTCCAGGTTGAAGATGGAAACCATGCAGGCCCCATCTGTTTCACATGTGTAGTTGGCCTGTGAGCAGCTGGTGCAAGCACACAGCAGAGCTGCAGGACATTTGGGAGGAGTCATTAACAAAAACAGTGAAATCTTTTCCAGGTCTTTTTGTAGACTTAGAAATAGTTTAGACTTAGCATATTCATGTTCCAAAATAAGAAACTTTCATAGAGATGGGGCCAGAAAGATATCATTAACTGGGGAATAACTTTTTTCACCTGCTTCAGCTCATAAACAGGGCTTTGTAGGTCCCATTGTTCCTCTCAGAGCTCAATTCCAAGTCTATGAGAGACACAGGAACCACTCTTTCCTTCAAACTAAGAAGGCTGCTGAAAGGACAGCATCCTCACTTTGGAAAACAGAGGGAATCCCCATTCCAAGCAAAAGCACCAAGGGTTTCCTGAAGTCAAGAGTCCACCCATCTCTTCTGTCAGGCACCATGCACACCCACAACTTCATGTAGTGTGCATGCTTTTACACATTCTCTTGCTGCAGTGCTTTCTTCTTGCCTAACTTTTGCAAATCTTTCAAACAACACTTTCTCTGCGAAGCTTCCTCTGACCACTCCAGTATCGTCCCCTCCCTTTTGTGTATGTCAGATGTCCCTCTCATGAGAGCCACATAGTATGTCTTCCAGCTGAGTGTGGTGATATACACCTGTAATCCCAGCACTCATGAGGCTGAAGCAAAAGGATAAAAGTGAGTTCAAGGCCAGCCTGAATTATATACTGAGGCCCTGTCACAAACAAACAAACAAACAAATGTACGTTCTCCAAAAGAGAATTTTAGTGCCTACCTCAAAAGTTTTGTGGGGGGATCGAACTTGGGACCTTGTGCTTGTGAGAAGCCACTGAGCTAAATCCTCAACCCTATCTCAAAGTTTTATAAGAACTAAATGAGATAATGCATAAAAAGTACTCAATAATGTAACCCACCTTGAAAGGTTCTTCTATAGCACTTAAATACACATGCTCATCTACACACACACACACACACACACACACACACCCGAAGAGGTAGTGCACACAATCATTATTTCTGGGACTAGTGAGTTTTAGTGGGCATGCATCATACATTAAGTGTGTGCCACCAACAGGAAACTGCTGTAAATGAACTTGGTGTCTCTGAGAGCCTGTTCAGGAGCTCTAGATTCTGCAATCCTTTATTTATCTGGCTAGCATGAATAGAACAGACAGCAGCAGTTGTTTCTCCTTAACACTGTCTCCCATGAGCCTAACCTAGTCCTGACCTCTTGGGATGGGCACGAATGTGGCTTTGGCCACTAAAACACTGAGGTTGGAACTTGTAGAGCTGAATGAGGCTCTCATCCATCAGGGGATATAGGGGTGGGCCTGCCAACCCGGTGGCACACTCAGTGAGCACTACATGGATACCCAGTAGGAGGACACACACACTAAGGCTCCAGGGCAGAAACACTCGTGACCAATTTCACAAAAAGCCATGCTGTCCTTAGTCCCAATTTAGACCATAGAGTCTATCTTCGTCTCTTCCTCCAATAGTCTGAAAGTCATCTCTTGGCTTTTCAAATTCAAAGACAGATTTTAAATATCTCAGTGTCCAAACCCTTGTGCCATGTGAGATAATCTCTTGCCATTTCTACCCAAGGAAACAAAGAAATTCCAAAACATGTCACTACCTGCTAAAGAGTTTGGATAATGTTATTTCTTAAAAGCATGAATTTAAAGTACATATTCATGAGTGTAGGAGCCAAATCATAAAAGGAATTTTAAAAGCAAATCTCTCCTAGTTGTGAGAAAGTTAAGAAACCTAAATTTTCCTTTCCAATACCTTTACCTGCATCTCTTTTATTCTCTTTGCTAACTTAAACTTATGCAACACTAAGAAAACCTAGTCTGACCCTCTTTTACTCCTGCTGGAATCTGGTTAACCAGAGAAAACTCATTCCTGTTCCTCTTTGTGTGTCTCAGGCATGAAGGGGTTCCCCGTGAGGAGCACACCTCTCAGTACAAGTGTGATGATGCCCACCAAAGACAACAGTATTGGGTCTATCTGGGGATACAAGAAAGGAAAAATTAACAACTTCAACATAGGCCTATTTCTGAGCATGATGAGACATGTAAGGCCAAACCCACAGCCATTTAAATAAAGCTTGCTTCAGAGTCCATCAATTACTGGAGAAGAGTAGTCAAGAATCTCTCATTCCAGATATTTATTCTTCGTTCAGTGGTTCACGGCCTCTTACACAGTGATTCATTCTGGAGAATGAACACACCCACACGTGGCTCATTATTTTTAGGAAGTACTCAAACAATCTTGGTGTAAAACAGGAAAGAGCAAAAGTGGTGAAATCCATGCTAGAGAGGAAAGACCAAAACTGAGAGCTGGTCCATGGGTTTGTGATAAGAAACTGGCAAAGTCTCTGAGCCTATCTGAGATTCAACTGTCAATCAGAAAACACCATTTATCGCCGGGCATGGTGGCGCACGCCAGTAATCCCAGTACTCGGGAGGCTGAGGCAGGAGGATCGCTGCGAGTTCCAGACCAGCCTGGGCTACATAGTGAGTTCCAGGTCAGTCTCAACTAGATAGTGAGACCCTGCCTCAAAACAAAACAAAACAAAACAAAAATCCCAACATTTATCATATAAAGATGACAGGGAGATTAACTGAATGCTACAGGTACCCTAAGAAAGGCACAGAGGAAGTGAGAAGTCTGAACATACAGCATATTTTAAGATAACCATTACTACTGCCCACACCCCTGAAAAAGTCTGAATTTACATCACTAGGCACCACAGCGGATATCTCAGCAGGAATAGGTCAGAAAGACCTAAAATTCAAATGTCAGCTCTAATATTCATCACATGACCTTGAGCAAGCTATTAACCTTATTGTACCACTTTCCTTTGTGGTACAATCTATAAAGTGGGGCTGTTGATAACTAGTTTGTGAGACTACTTAAAATCTATATAAAGCAACACTTAAAATATTTAATAAATAGTAGGTGCTCAATAAATATAAATTCCTCCTAACACAAAACCTAACTCACATGCACGCATAAAGCAGCAAAATGTCTCTTTAGCCACTAATTGGGAAGTGGAAAGTTACAGCAAGAAACTTCTGTTGGGAGTCTCAGCTCTGCCAGTAACTAGTTGCGTGGTGTTGGGCAAGTCATTTACCCTCTCTGAACCTCATTTTCCTCATGATTAACCAGAAAGAAGTGTCTGAACTATATGACCTCTAAAATCCTTTCCAGCTGTAAGTTTGAATCTAGTTTTGTTTTTCAATTCATAGCCTGGTCACTGACTGAATACTGGACAAGTATGCCTTCTTTTATATCTTTCACCAATTTTTTTTTGGTACCAGGGATCAAACTCAGGCCCTGTGCTTGTGAGGCAGGCGGAGGAACTACTGAGCCAAATCCCCAGCCCTTCCCATTATTTCTTTTAAGGATAGAAATTTTGGCTAGCTTTCTGTTAATATCCATTTTTCAACAAAACAAAGGACAATAGAACGGTAAACATAACAGCATTTACTATAAACTTAATACATTAAATTGCAACCTAAATCCCATCCTTTTTCAAAAGCGAAATGTGGAACTTTAAAAAGCTCTTTATAATGCTGTGTAGTGATAACAAGTCTACACATGTGTACACTAATAACACACACCTAAAATGCTCCTATTCCACAACCAAAGCATTAGATAGTAGAAATAGCCCAATTTAAAAAACCAAATCACAGGGCTGGGGATTAGCTCAGTGGTGCCACATCTGCCTGGCAAGCAAAATGTCCTGAGTTGGATCCCAGTATCATAGGAAAACAAATAAACAAACCAACCAACCAAAGAAGAGCTACCAAATCACTCTATAAACAAACAAGTTAGAAAGTAGAACCACAGCCCTACCAGCATAGGCTTTTGTTATCATCAAACCTGAACTATAGACAAAACTATCTTAGAATCCGAACATGGTTTCAAAGTGTGACTAACAGGTGGTTTGTGGTAGGATGCAAGCTACATCATGAGAGTAGCTGTGTTTTGAGAAAGGCTGACAAGTCCTGACTTGGGCAGAATCTGCAGAGTTGTGCGTTGTTAGTTTGTACTTATTTATGGGAGAGGACAGTACTGAGAATTGCAGCCACTACTAACCTATGTTGAAAGGCTTTCCTTTTTTTAAAATTTTGAGACAAAGTTTCCCCAAATTGGCAAGAATGACCATGAACTTGCAATCCTTCTGCCTCAGCCTCCCAAGTACTTGGGATTATAGGCATGTACCACCATGCCTGGCTAACTGTATGTTACAAAGATACCTCATTCACACAGCTGGGAAGATTGAGGGCATTCAGCAAGGCTGTGACTGAGCTATCTACAAACAGCCACAACCACTCATCCAGTGTTCTGCTGAGCACATTATCAGGAAATAGGTATGAAAGCAGTGTGAGGTTATACCAGCCTCAAAAGGTTAAACAGCAGGGCCAGGGATTTAGCTCAGTGGCACTGTGCCTGCGTTGCAAGTGCAAGTTCCTGAGTTCAATCCCCACTACCAAAAAACAAAAACAAAAACAAAAACAGACTCATCATCCTGCAAATGTTATTGATGTAAACCTGACTATACTCTTACCCTCACCATGTCAAACCCACACGTGGTTTCTGACCCAGAAACCTTACCACTTTTTTATTTCAAAATAAATAACCATCTTGTACAGACCTTAGTAAGGCCTTTGATGGTCCAAATTATTAGACTGTCTGGGCCTTGAGAAACCACACTGTCACCTTCCTTCCAGTGGGCTGTTTTCTGGGGTTCGGTGGCTCTAATCTTTTTTTATTTTGAGACACGGCCTGACTCTGTAGCAAAGGCTGGCCTTAAATTCACTGTGTAACCTATGTTGGCCTCAAACCTGTGGCGATCCTCTTGCCTCAGACTCCTGAATGCTGGGACTGCAGGTGTGCACCACCACATCCCGCTCTAACTTTTATTATGGATCCCATCCACAGAGCAATCAGGGTCTCCCTAGAGATTGCTCTATAAACAGGCTGAGGTACCATCTACTGAAACAGAAAACAGAACTGT